AATGAGAGAAAACACTCATCCTATTGTCCTTGGTGGGAGCTAATTTATTTAGATTAGTCAAAAGGCTGTTTAAATGTGCTCCCAGGTACAAGTATGGCAGAGAATTGAATGGATTGGAACTGACTTCAATATGCAGTCCCTTTCACCCTACCTTTCTTGTTCAGTCCCCCTTGGATGGGGGAGCTTTAGAAGATTAGGATTGCTTGCATTAAAAATATCCAACTGATAAGGTGTTATAGACTCTTGGGTCTGATCTCAAATCCCACTCTGAGAGGCTGGCACCATTCTGGGCTATAAAGGGGAAAGCTGCTGAGCCATGCAGCCCTCTTGATAAACTCCAAGACCTCAGAGTGGCCCCTAAGGCAGAAAAAAATAATAATTTGGAGAACTGTCCATATTTTAAAATTTCACCCAAAGGCAGGGTGAAATTTTAAATATGCAAGTTTGTCTGGAAGCTGGATATACTTTCATTTTCTTTTTGATAGCATGATGTATAGAAAGTTGCTTTGCAATGTACAAAGCATATTTTCCAATGTAGAAATCAGAAAAGGCTAGCTAAGAATGCTGAGTAAATACGAGAAATGTGCGTCATATAACTACATAAACCCTGTGGTTTGTGTGTATATGTATCTCACTTGACAGAATTTAATAGGCAAAATAGTTTTCTTCCTGCCTAAGAAATGTAATTACATATATGGAATGTAATTAAAGTCAATTACATCAATTAATTTTAATAGTCTTAATTACAATTAAGTGATTAATTACATTAATTAAAATATCAAACTTTCATATAACAGATCTGCCGAAAAGGGTGGCATCTTAAGTTCTGCTACTATTTCTCTTAAACCTGCAGGAACATTTCCCTATCCACTATTGATCCATCCATTGGGTCACTTATTACTATTTACTTTATTAACAGTTCCTGTCCCTCTATTCTAATTGAATTAATTAAATAAATAAAGATAAATGAATATAGGACTGAATCTCAAACTGCACAGAGCTCTGCTACAGTCATTTCCTCGCATATGAATGTTAGCTTTGTCTGGAGTCCATATCATCCAATCATCTGTGGGTCAAATTAAAGATTGCAACTGGAGTTTACAAATATCAAATCAAACTATCTAATCAAGCTGATTAATCAGCTCCTTAAAAATATAAACACATGGGAACTTTGTTGTCCTTAAAACCCCCCACAAAGATTTAAAAAAAAATTATATTGAGGGCAATGTTTTATTTCTTAATAAGTTAAGGTATAAGCTTCTGGAAACAGAGTGTTTTATCATTACTGTCTGCCAGATGGTTGGTTGCAGAAGGAAAATAACAGTTTTGGACAATGGCCCTCAAGACAAATTGAAAGGCAAAAGCACCAGTTGCACTCCCATAGAACTCACTATGGTACTCGAAAAAGATGCTGCTTGCTTCTAAACCATTGGCTTCTCGGCAAAGACTGTGGAGGACTGCTGATCTGAATAATGCTGCACCTGGCCAAGTGATTTAGCAGAAACCCAACCAAGGGGCCTAGAGAAGCTTTGTTTGCTTTGTTTTGAGGGAGCCTGCTTGGAAAGCCAAGGTTGGATTAGCTCCGGCTAAATCCTTGGGCATTTCGCCAGAGCAACTCTAACACCAATAGGAGGAAAATCTACTAACTCTCCAAGATTTCAGGGCTGGCTTTAGTTATTCGTTTTTCCCATGCTCTTCACATAGTAGAGAGCAAATGCCAAATATCAAACCAGCACCCTTTCCCTTTAGGCCATACCCGAAAGACTGAAAAATATAGGGATACAAATACAGTAGAGATCCATCAAAATGTGTGGTTATTTTTATGACTCTGTGCCCAGTTCTCTTGCTTGATTTCTTATTCTGAACTTAGCCTCATTTTCTTTCTCTTTCTTCAATAGGAAACAGTCTTATATTGCCCCAGGTTTTATGTATTGGATGTTTTTAAAGATGTAGCTAGAATATTTATAAATATTCCATAACACTCAGAGAAACTAACAACCTCTTTTCACTATGTTAAGCTTTGTACCTTATATACAATAGCAGTAGAAATTTACTAAAATTACAAATTGATCTTAGCTCTTGTTTTGTTTTTGTCTTTATATTTTATTTGGTATGTGGCTAAACTAGAAGCATCACTGTTTTGTACATACAGAACATAACCAACGGGATATTTCTGCTGGCTACTAGTAGTAGTGAGGGAGAAGGTAGTGAAGGAGAAGGGGATTTTTCAGCCCCTTCTTTCTGAAATCCTTATGTTATCTAAAATCTGCCCCAGAGGAAGGGTGAAGGGGAGAGTTCTGCATAAGTCTGCATACCACACTAAATTAAAATCTGCTTGGCTAGTTTGTGGTTCCATAAAATTAATTCTGTGAATTATGTTTAGTTCATGTTGTGTGCACAAATCTTTTGGCATAGTGTGGGAGGTAGAGCTGGATTTGCTGGGGGCAGGGGGACTGACAGAAATTACCTTATTGCTTTTCTATTTGCAAAACTCTTCATAGGATAAAATTCCTTCCTGCAAATGGAAGACTACTCATTGATGGAACAGAAACTCAAATTCCAGGGTCCAAATCAGAGAACAGAACAAATAAGAGATAAAACCTAGACTATAAATTTGTTTTAAAAGAATACTCAATTTAGGACCCAAGTCAATAGAGTAAATTTTGATTTAATGGCTCCCTACATAACAGACTTGTATGCAATAGATAATATTTCCTCCAAAGTAGAGCTGATAAAGTGGTTACTTTTCTTCATTAACATAAATGACATTATGTTAAGAAAAAGATGTAAATGAATACAAAGTACTTTTGTATTTCATAGGCAACTTTAAATCACAAACCACTCATATCTATCAATTCAAGATTTGAATGCATTTAATGTATATATGAGAGAAAGGGCACTATTATATGTTATAAACAATATCATTGCAGGATAAGATCTCGAACCCAGCATTACTATTCCAAGAGTATGTAAGTATCCTGATGCAACGGGGCTAAGCTAAAGAAGGCTTCTAGGTAATAATCAGTACTTCAACATATACCTGGGAGCTTATTGATAGCAAGGTGTACTGCAATGTGCACCAAATGTTGGTTGTTAGTTAGCACAGTTAGTTAGGCTTTGTTGCATTTTGGACCACTTGTAACTTCTCAGTACCTTTTAAAGACAGTCTCAAGTACAGCATGTTACAATAGTCCAAGCTAGGAGCAATACAGACTTGAGACATTATAGTGAAGTCCTTGCACCCTAGTTATCACTATAACTAGTCCAGAAGCCAAGGCTGGGCAAAGGCCCCATCAGCTATTCAAGCAGGAGCCATGAGTTCAGAACTCACAGATCTGATTCTTCAGGGGCTGTGTCCCATATCAAGTGACAATACTGAAGCAGTCAGAGACAAAGTACTAACTAGACAAAACTCCATTTTGCTTTGGTTCAACTTGTCTCTTCTGTTCCATTCACACTCCCACTGTATCCATGCACTGATTTCTACGGCACTTCAGCATGGCTGGGAGTTATGATGTGAAGTTGGTGTCATTATATTGATGATATCAAACTCTGAACCACTGAATCAAACTCAATAATTTCACATAGAAATTAAAAAGTAGAGGGGAGAGAAAGTAACTACTGGAGCCACCACTTCCCCCACAACTGGAATGGCTTACTGGGGAAAGAACAGAACCATTGCACCACAGTGCTGCCAATCCCCAACTGCTGCAGATGGTCCAGAAAGATATGGCTGATGATATCAAAGACTCTTAAGAGGTGTAAGAGGAACAGGATCCTTCAGTCCAGGGCCCTCCAAGGACCATCCACTAAAGCAACTTATAGCACTTACTTATATACCGCTTCACGGTGTTTTACAGCCCTCTCTAAGTGGTTTACAGAGTCAGCCTATTGCCCCCAATAATCTGGGTCCTCATTTTACCTATATTGGAAGGATGTAAGGCTGAGTCAACCTTGAGCCTAGTGGGATTCGAACTGCCAAATTACAGGTGGCTGGCAGTCATCAGCCAGCAGAAGTAGCCTGCAGTATTACATTCTAACCACTGCACCACCACGACTTATGTTGACAGGGTTTATGTTGCCCTTTCAACAGCTGCCACCTTGCATTGGTCCTGCCAACATTGCCAGGTCCACCTCTCTACCAACACATATCTTCTGAAAGGAGTAAGTAAAAATGATCCAAGAGAAGACCAAACTGGGCATCACAACTTCCAGCCATCTCCCAGATAGTTTTTAACAACCTGTCCCCGTCCTGCTTGCATTGCTGCTATTCTTTCAACTCCTACTATTCCGACCAAATATTATTCCGGCCTTCTGCAACTTTCCACTCTGTCTCAACACTTTCCAGCCATGATTCCATCCACCAGTTTATTAATAATCTACTTAACTGTTTGACTATAAGAAGCACGAATCCCAAGTATACGTAGCTTGTTGTAATAATTCCAGATACAAATAGCTTGTTGCCTGATGCCATGGGATGGGGGAAAAGAGATAACTATGGCTATTGGCTGGCAATAGCTGAGATATAGTCTGCAAAGTTCTTTTTCTAGTACTGAATGGATATATAGACCCTATGTTTTTTCTATGTTCCTGGGAGTTAAAAAAAACAACCATTTTATTAAAACACATAGAGCTTATACAATATATGATATTGTACATGATGTATGATGTTCTGATGTTTAAAAGGACATCAACCATCTGTATTTTGCTACCTGCTCTGCTTTTGGTCCCATTAATTGCATATGAAAATTCGTGACGTAACTGTGGTTTCAGTTCTCCAATTTATTCTCCAGTCTTTAAACAGTAAGATATTAGATACATATTTTTTTTAAAAAAATTACATGCTTCAATATAACTTTCTGTGTTCTGGTCAGGGAAAGCAGAAGGAAGGTGTACTTTATTGTTCCTATAGGAAACAGGCTGAAAGGAGAGCCTAAAAATCTATTCAGTGGAACAAAGTAGGTATCAAGAATAGAACAAAGCTCTTGGTTGCTATGTCCATATCTAATGTCCCCAGTGGGTCAATAGGATAAAAGGTGCAAAATGCAGATACTTTTGAGTGACATCTCCAATAAAGTATATGAATCATATATTGGATTGCAACATACTGTGTTGCTGGTTTATTGCAGCACTTCAAACACACATAGAATAAATCTTTGCTCCGTTATTTATATTGCAATTGCATTTATGTGATACTTATCCCGTTTTAAAAACTCATTTACTCTTGCATGAAATTCAGACTAAATGAAAGTACAATTCCTGTCCTATATTTTATTAAGAAATTAACAGCTTAAAATTACAACAGTGAACATTATTTTTTTAAAAATAGATTGAAAATCTTAACAGTTCTCCTTTGATTTTTTTACAAAATATAATGCCCTGAAATAATTCCCATTTACATTTTTAAAAAGTTTGTACACCCTTAAAAATGTACTGTACACTGGAAGAAAAAATAATTCTAATATATTTAAAATTCCACGTAAGGAGGATTAGAAGATCCATTCCTATCTGGAAGAAGATAATGAAATGTGTACAATCAAGAACAAAGAGATATGAGGTGTATATTTTGGTGCACAAATGAGGCAAAGTGACTGTATTGCCACAGGCAGTGATGGATTTTTTGGGGACTGTTTGGAGTACCAGAGCACAATAGATTTGGGTCATAGGACACAGTCTGGGAATTCTGCTTCACAAGTCCCACTGAAATAGATCAGATTTGCTCAAGAGCACAATTTGGGCTGACAGGTTTCTTTTTAGTAGGTCAAGTTCTTTTGTTGGCCATGGATTCCACAATTATCAGTTCTGGACTTTTTGCCACCAGCAGTAATGATTGCTCTTATTTTGAACGTTTTAAAAGGCAACTAGACAAACAAGAAGAAATAAATACAGTTTTCTGGTAGTTGAAATATGTAATTTGGGTGCATGACAAAGAATGGGTCTCCTTGTGGGATTCTTAGTAGCATCTGCATGGCCACAGTTGGAAACAAGTTGCAGCATCAGACAAACCATTGCAGAAACATCATATACAGTTTCTTCATTTCAGTGAGACATATAAATAATAAAAAGTCATCCTCTGATCCTGAATGTGTTCCACGCTAATTCATAAAACCAGAAGATGCTTTGGTAACAAACATTTGCAGTGGTGACCTGGCTATTTCTGTGAATTTATATTGAAATGCAGCAGGAACAGATGGTCAAATCTGCTACAGTTTGGGCTTTGTGCAATGTTATTATTCAGTTATGGTGTCCCCTTTTCAAATCTCCAATTGTGTAAAGTTATATGGAACAAAAACCTGAGAAAGTACTTCACAATTCTTTCCTGTTTCCTCTTCCCTCCAATATCTGAAACAAATATAATTGCTATCAGATCATTGATTCTTAAAAGGCTTAAATTATCTAAGATTCTAAGTATTTTCTAATTTTTAGGACAGGAGTTACTGCAAAAGGAATTTGATTGAGTTCCGCCTTTACTTGCATCCTTCAATATTCATTTCCATATAAGGGAAAAATTCAAAATGTTATTCTATGCAAGAGTTCCTTCTAAAACTAAAAATTTCCAATTAGCATTAAATGCTGGTAATATAGGAAACAATGTAAGCATTATAGGCACAGATAGCAAATTCTAAGTGGCATCAATGTGAATCAGAAGAAAACTAACATCTCCAAATAAAAGTCATAATAATAGCTGGCTTTTAAAGAACTACATTTTGGAAAGCATTTAGATATCGGCAGCTCTGTAGCCATAATTGTGCAGTTATTATTTAATACCATTCAGGTTGTCATGCTGTCCTTGGACATAGAATTTTATGACTTTTTTCTTCATACAGCAGTTTAGATTTAATTTTCATGAATAAATGGTAATGCTACCAAATAGATAGGCTTTAAAGACTTCTATACCTCACTTTCCATGCTTCTTCTTCAGTAATATTCAGTAATGCACAGAAATATCAAGCTAGAAGAGGATTTCTGCCATTAAGAGAAGGCTGAGAGATGAAGGATCATCAGTGGAACAGGACATACATCTATAGTGACAATATCTGAGCCACAAACTTCCAAGCAGATTAGAGGCTTTAAAGCAGGGGTGTCAAACTCACATCGTCACAGTGGCAGCACGTGATATATCACAACTTTTTTTCTTCGCTGAACTGGGTATGGGCGTGTCCAGCACGTGATGCATCTGGCCTGCGGGCCACAAGTTTGTTAGCCCTGCTTTAAAGTGTTAGAATTGTTTCTGTCTTTGTGTTGCTGTTGCCATCTATATTTTTTCAGCCTAGATATAGTTGTCATCCCAACTTTTTCACACTTGTATCTTCTGAATATTGTAGTTTCAAATTCCTATGCACTAAAACATGAAGCTGTGTATTTATGTGACAGAGAAACATTTTCCTCATGGAAACTACAAATGAAACTTAGACATACATATTTGTAGAACTCATCATCAGTTCATACAGTTCTGATTGTTCTCCTCCCCTGGGATTAGAAAGTCGCCCCCCCCTTTTCTCCAGTTTTGATTTTTGAATCCCAATAGGAATATGTATGCTCATAGGAAGGTTAGTTAGTGCTTGGTGATTCACAGCTGAGTATGAGCACCAATTTATGCTTGAGATGAAGAGAGGCAATATAAACATCCCATCTATGATTCTGATGCTACCTGGCCATAGAATTTAAATTTCCTTTCCCAAAGGAACTAGAAACCTGTTTTAAACAGAAAATAAATATCAAGTGAGATTTTTCAGAGAGCTAAATTCCAGCATCTGCTCTGCATAAGAACACGGATAGCTCTTGTTGTCATCCTGCATATGGATTTTTTTTTTTTACAAAAGAGCCAACTGTATTAACAGAAGAGGATTTGCAGAAATATAAGATGTGCCTGCTTCCCATTTGTTTAACAGCTTGGATATAAAGAAAGAACCCCCAACAGATGAGCACAGAGCCATTTCCACATTGAGCAAGTAGAACTTCTCTGCAATAACCAAACAAACTCAAGAGCTTGTATATCTTAGCATGAACAATATTCACAAATTACTGTTGGACCTTATGTATTAGTGTGCCAGAAAAAGAAAGAAATGAATGTGTATCTGGCTTGGCAGTACATTTTCAAATAAAGTTCAAAGCTGCTGTATTTCCCCAAAGCATCACTTTCAAACTCCTAATCAACAAGATCCAGTTATTCTAGACCTTATTGCTGTACACTGAGAAATAAACTAAACCCACTTCAATACACAAAGCTGTGCGCTTTGAAAGCTCTTTCTGACAAATATACCCAGGATAGTAATAAATACTACAGAATATAAATTATTTGGCAGCAATATAATTGCTATTTTTTAAAAAAGTTCCTATTCAATATTTCAATGTCCCAATTCCATTACAATATTATACAAAAGAAATCTTTCTTTACAAACAATACAGTTTTTGATTAAAGCACTGATTTTTGTTTTAAATGTGGTAGGTTTCACAATATTGTGTAGAATAAACAAGGAAAATGGAGTGTGGGAGGATTCAGTATTCAGTGTATACTCTTGCCAGTCCATAGAATGGCAATTTATGTACATTCTCCTTTAGAATCTAGTGCGCAAAAACTATATAACTATCAGCAGAGTCATAAACAGAATTCAGATCTAACTAAGTTCAAGTATTATTCTTATTGAAGGATGCAATTTGCCAGCAAAGTTGTGGAATTTTCAAACTATTTCAATTGTGTGTGGTTGTGCACAACTTCAGAATGATGTTTGCAGCAGCAGCAGCACAGTATTCTAGGCACATACACCAACTGTCTTTTTGCTAATGTCAGGACCAATTACAGGTAGTCCTTGGCTTACAACCATTTGTTTAGTGTCTGTTTGAACTAACAGCGGCATTGAAAAAAGTGATTTATGACCAGTTTTGCACTTATTGCCATTGCACCATCCTCATAGTCATGTGACCCAAGATTCAGGCACTTAGCAACCAGCATGTATTTCCTAGGATCATGGGATCGCATTTGTGACTTTTCCACCTGGCTTCCGACAAGCAAATTCAATGGGGAAACTGGATTTGCTTAATGACCGCAGGATTCCCTTAAAGAACTGCAGTGACTATTCACTTAACAACTATGGCAAAATGTTGTAAAATCAGGCATGATTCACATAACAACCATATTCCTTAGCAATGGAAATTCTGGTCCCAATTGTCGTAAACCGAGGACTACCTACACTCTTTTAATATTGTGATCGATTGTAGCAGAATTATTTACACACACGCACGCACACACAAAGAAATTCGAGCTCATGAATGCGTTACCACATGCATAAAGAATAACAACACAGTGTGGGTTTCAAGGTTTGGTAGCTGTCTGAATTATTCTCTTTGGAACAACAGAGAAGGGGATAGTAAAATTAGCTTAAAAGTAACGTGTCAATGCTTGTATGGCTGATTCTGAGCTTAAATTTATTCCCCAGCCCTCATCAAGATTCATAATATTGAGTGTCCATTTAATGAAAGGAAACAGATCTCCGCAGCATCAGGAACCATTGTCTTGCAGTGCCTTTGGAACGGTTAGCTGTTCATAGGTTGGGAGAGCGCTGCTGGAAAGTAGGCTAGAGCTGACATCATTCCTGGGAGATGCTTTGGTGCTGCCTTGGTTTCCCTGCTGGCTGGAAAGCAGGCGGTGCAGCAAATCTGTGATGAGATTCAGCTTCTGGTCTATCTGGACTACCTGTGAAGACCAACAAAAACAACACTCAGCATTTAGGTGAACTTCTAGGCAGTGTTTGAAAGCCAAGATTTACCACCCAATACTTCTGGTCTGGCAGGATTTTGAGGCAGAAATCCATGTCTCACCCAAGGAGAATGAGCAGTTCTATACCACCCCGAAAGAGAAGCCAATAAAACCATGAGACTGAGGGATTGCAGAATTAATCATTAATTAATTAATAAGACTAGAGCTGGAAAGGACCTTGGAGGTCTTCTCTTCCAACTCTCCCGGCTCAAGCAAGAGACCCTATAACATTGCAGACATGGCTGTCCAATCTTTTCTTAAAACCCTCCAGTGATGAAGCATCACAACTTCTGAAGGCTAGCTAGCTGTTCCATTGGTTAGTTGATCTCATTGTTAGGAAGTTTTTTTCCTTAATTCCAGGTTGCTACTCTCCCTGATTAGCTTCCATTATTTCTTGTCCTGCCGTCTGGTGCTCTGGAAAATAATTGACCCCCTTCTTCTTTGGGGCAGCCTCTCAAATACTGGAATACTGCTATTGTATCACCCACAGTCCTTCTTTTCTCTAGACTAGCCAAACCCTTGGATGAATAAATACCTGTTCTTCATACAGGTATGATCTAAACCTAGAGTTATAAGATATAAATACGAATTAGTAATATAATGAGGGCTACCTGTAGGAATTCCCTGTGAGATGCTTTCTTGGCAGATCAGCATGACTCCAATGGGAACTGCTCAGTGATAATGCTTTGGAATCAGAGGTGGTATTCAGCAGGTTCCGACCAGTTCTGGAGAACCGGTAGCGGAAATTTTGAATAGTTCAGAGAACCAGCAAATACCACCTCTGACTGGAGATTTTACAGTATCCTTCCCCTGCCACGCCCACCAAGCCACGCCCACAGAACCAGTAATAAATTTTTTTGAATCCTGCCACTGTTTGGAATAATGAGGGGGAAGAATGGCTGAATTGCCCTTGGGCATATGTGAAGCTGACCTGTCTGAGAGAGAAAAGAGGAAATTTCCTCTGCGATTAATCCTGAATTGTTCTCAAATACTGAACAGGTTGAGGATAGCAGGAAAGAGAAAAGGAGAGGCGACTGAGGAAGCCTGTATAAAATGAAAACAATAAGTATCCCTGGAAAGTGATAGGAAAACAGAATATTTCACAATATAATGGGTATTAATGTACCCCCTCCCCTGTTGTGGGTACATTAGTATCCACAACAGCAGAAAGTAAAAGCAGAAATACTAGTTTTTATAGTGAGAGGCGGGGCGAATCCCAGAATTTTGACAATCACCGTTAAATCTGGATTGGGACACCTTTAGTTAAAAATCTCTCTCTTTTGTAAATGATGTCATCAGAACAATCTCAGCTATAAAAAAAAATAAACAAAAGCAAAAGAACCCCAAAAGCCACACTGTCATCTAGAAGACTTCTTAGACTTGATGCTTTGTTGCCCTTGAGAGTGTGGCCATTTTAAAATGAGGAGCTCCATGCCTGGAGCACATAGCTGAAATACCAGAACAAAAGCTGGCATGAGGGGGGAAAGCTGAACTCTCAACTATCTACATACAATATCAAAACAAATGATGGTAATTGGGAAATGAAAGAGAGAGAAAGAGAGAGAGAGAGACTGCTGGGAAGGCTGATGTTTTTGGGATCCCAGCAATAAGAGATTTGTGGAACTTGAGCCACTCAATAGCAGTATGGGTAATATCTTTAGCCCCTGGTGCCCTGCTTTGTTCTTGTAGGATAAGAGAGCATGGGAGAATAAGCAGCACCAAGGCTTACTTGGCATGAGACAGTCTACCCCTACATTTCACTTAACTGTGCTAGCTGGCACTGTAGTTAGAGGAGGGCAGAATAAAAAGCCTTGCTAATTCTTTTCCCACTTACAATGGAAAGGATGCCTTTTGTCTCAAAATGGCTATGGTGGACAATATAGAATAAGGGAATCTAATGTTCTCATGCTCGCATTTAGCTTCTACTTAATTCTAGGGATAATAGGAGCCTAAAATGAAAAGGAGGCAGCCTACTGAGAGGCTAAAAATGACACCAATTTGACAAACTAAAAACAAATGTCAGAAATAATTAAACAGACGAGGTATAGGGAATCAGGGGAAAAGACTTGATCTGATTTTCAACATAACCCCGATGGCGTAAAATCACCTTGTGATGTTTTCTCCCATGTAAACTAGTCAAAATGTAGCCAGATATGCGCACATGCAAACTTTTCCCTAGGAAACGATTAAAAAAACCCAACTTTTTGTGACCTGCTGGAATGAATGAGGTAAAGATAATGTTCTTGACCTTTCAATCAATGATTGGGTTTAAATATGGGTCTCTCCACTAAAACAATTAATAGCTGATCACAGATCCAGATTATAGCCTTACTCTAGGAATGAGTACCCCAGCCCTCTTCTTCCCCCTGACCCCTGACCCATGAGAGGTGATCGAGCCAGCCGTAAACCAGTTTCACAGGAATAAATCTCTCTATGTCTGGTTATCGTCCAAGCATCATTCTGGACAGTAAAAGATAATAAGTCTGAGCAAAATGTCAACAAACCTGGAGAATTTCAAGTGCAGTTCAAATGTTTTTTAACCAAAAGAGAATATTGTTTTTGTCAAATAATTTGGACACTTGCGGGGAAGCAGATACAGAAACCACAAAAATACAAGGTGCTGGAGGATATATTACAGCTGCGTTTTTCTCCCTCACAATGCAAAGCTAAGATTGCAATCCTCAAGCCACTTAATTCCAAAATAAGTGGTGAGAGGATTGCAACCGAAGTATCTGTGAGAGATTGTGTTGGCTATTTGTCACACATACATTACCTTATACTGTAAATGTGAATGCATTTGCTTGGTGGGAAAAGCATTGCAAGAGAAATCCAAGACAGGGCATAATAGACACTTTTCTAAAAACAAGAACAATCAAGCCTAGGCTACAAAAATCCAGTTAACCACTAGAGAACAGCAAAGAGCTATTAGCTGCCCCTCAATAATCACACACACTTTTGCAGCCCAACAGTGGTGGGATTCAACTTTTTTTACTACTGGTTCTGTGGGTGTGGCTTGGTGGGGGTGGCTTGGTGGGGGTGGCAGGGGAAGGATACCGCAAAATCTCCATTCCCTCCCCCACTCCTGGGGGAAGGTTACTGCAAAATCCCCATTCCCTGGCCACCCCACTAACCTGCTTTCCAGCTCCGTTCTCCTGTGCAGGGCAACAAAAGAAGATCCAGCCAATCAGCTGGGACTCAGGAGGCAGAGAATAGATAGGGGCGGGGCCAACCAGAGGTAGTATTTGCCAGTTCTCTGAACTACTCAAAATTTCCGCTAACGGTTCTCCAGAACTGGTCAGAACCTGCTGCAGCCCAAATCTGATAATGGAATACTTTTTGGATAGCATAGAATGGGATAAGCAAGCTTTCAGAGCTCTTATTTCATTTTATTCATTAGATTTATGCACCAACTTTCCTTCAGATGCCCAGGATAGAGTATATAACATTCCCCTCTCTCATTTCCCCCTGCAACAATAACTCTGTGAGACAGATCAGTTTGAGAGACAGTGACTGAACCTAATGAACTTACCCAATGAACTTCAGCGGCTGAGAGAGGGGAGGGGAGCTTGAATCCTCTGAAATCTTGGAATTTTACTTTCACAGCCTCACAGCTAATTTAAAAGGATAGTTTCTGTACAAATCTCTGCTATGAAGTGAATGCTTGCTGATGTTAAACTACTGTTGCTAATACTACTATACACAAAATATTCTGCAAATTGTCCCTTAGTTCAACATATACTGAAGATATATGAAGATGAAGGTTCTACAACTGTGGTATAAATATGTTAATATATATTGCTAATCCATGGATGATATGCCATATGCAAAATAAATTATACTGAAGACCAAATAAAACTGAAATCTGAAGCCATACGTTTCAGGAACTAGAGTAATTTAGTCCCTTTCTAATAAAAAGTAACTTGCAAATTGCTTTTCTTTACCAGCAGAAAAATACAAAAAAAATACAAATATTGTACCAAAATGAGCAATACATTTTTTGGGGAAAGATAGGAACAGATTGTGGAAAAAAAAAAATCATGGGTGAAAATGAGACAGTTATGCAGTCCTTCCCTACATTATTTTGATTCTCTTTCTTCACTTTCCTTTGGCCATCAGAAAATACACAGAATCTCCATAGACCTTTACTATGAAGTTTGGGATGAACACCATTCAAATGGTTGTGGGAGTGTGAACGGATTTCCAGAAAAATTGCAGACTACAAGAATCATTTGCGCTTCAGTTTGAGATGCAGAAGCCCAGATTCATCCCCAACAGCCTGCGCCTGCCTTCAACAGTGAAGGGCAGAAAACATCCTGCAGCCAAATAAGGCTCCACAATTATACTGTTTTACAGTGCTTTATGGACCTCTCTAAGTGGTTTACAGAGTCAGCATATGGCCCCCAACAACTTTTACCGACCTCGGAAGATGGAAGGCTGAGTCAACCTTGAGTCGGAGAGACTCAAACTGCCAAGCTGCTGGCAGTTCGCAGTCAGCAGAATTAGCCTGCAGTACTGCATTCTAACCACTGCGCCATCACAGCTCAAAGATAACCCATCTTTGTTCAGGAATTCAAGGCAAATTCATAGTGCTTCAATCTCCTATATTTCTTCACAACAATCCTGTGAGGTAGGTTGGGCTGGAAGTCACCAACTGAGCTGATGTGGCTGCAGACGGAATAGAAGCTGGATCTCTCTGGTGGCAGTCAAATACATTAGCCATTTCACCTTAGTCCTTGCCCATCCTGTTTCATTTTTCAACTGCTTCCTGCTCTGAAAGTTAGTGGAGACCAGCCCCTCCTTCAACTGCTGGAGATTAGGTAGACCTCAGGAAGCCACATGACCCTATTTTTAAACTGCCTATGACAGCTTCCTGCCACAACTCAATGACAAAGATGGCACAGGGTGACAAAGATGTTGCTGTTGCTGTAGCATCATCC